CTGGTGCATCCGGGTCTCCTTCAGAGGCATTCATCGCAACCAGTGCAGCTGTTCGCGAAGGACTATGCGTGATGGAGCTCGTACAGGAAGCGAGAGTGACAATGAACGGGCACTTCACGTTACCCTGCAACAACCAGAGCGCGATGAAGATCCCGAACAAGCACATCGCACTTCGTTAGTTCTTCATCAAATACAAGATCGACAAGGGCAAAGTCAAACTCTCGTATTGCCCAACTGGCGACATGGCAGCAGATTTCCTGACAAAGAAGCTGCCATGTCAGAAGTTTCAGCACTGCGTCGACCTCTGCGGGATCTCAAAGAAATAGCACGTGGCTCACCTTCAGGAATAAAGGGGAGTGTTGGAATAACCAATGGTTATAATAACATTCTCGAATGCTTCCCTTAGCGCATCGCTTCATAACGAGGCAGCGCTCCTGTACAAATGTCGCGTTAATCTCGAATAAAACACGCAGTACCATGAAAGTCACTCAAAGGTCAACAGTCGCAGAAGCGATTGTTAACTGTGAAATTGAACGAGAATGAAGGAGTGGTTTCACTAGCAGCAATTAGGATACATATAGCAAACCCCAGATGGGTTGTACTCGCTATAGAGCACCCCACTACAGGCTAGAGAATAACATTCTGACACACCCCCATAGCCAAAGTGGGGCGTAATCAGCACAATGAGCAAGCAGGCATAGAGCAGGAGTTCACAATAGGTAAGTAAGGCTAGAGCTAATCACAGAGGGCAAGTGAGGAGGAGGAGAGACTGTGGGGGAGAGAAGATGGGAGGCGACTGCTGACGCTGCAGACACACAGACGAGCTGCTGGCTCAGTGGCTACCTAAGCAAAGGCCCGGACTACAGGAGTAACTGGGTCCGCGGCTAAAAGTAGCGGCAGACGAGCAACTGACCCACAGGCGACTGGCGACTACCGGAGATTGTAGCCTCCGGACTGCTGGTGTAGGCGGCGACAGGGCCGAGGAAGGGCGGCGACGGGGCCGCTGAAGGGCGGCGACGGGGCCGCTGAAGGGGTGGCGGCAACAGGGCCGCTTAAGGGCGGCGACGGGGCCGCTGTAAGGGGCGGGGACGGGGCCGCGGAAAGGGCGGCGTCGGGGCCGCTGAAAGGGCGGCGACGGGGCCGCGGAAGGGCGGCGACGGGGCCGCGGAAGGGCGGCGACGGGGCCGCTGAAAGGGCGGCGACGGGGCCGCGGAAGGGCGGCGACGGGGCCGCTGAAAGGGCAGCGACGGGGCCGCGGAAGGGCGGCGACGGGCCGCGAAAGGGGCGGCGACGGGGCCGCGAAGGGGCCGCGAGGGGCTAGGAAGGGCGGCAACGAGGCCGCTAAGAGAAGCGCGAGGGGCACGCCACGGGGCGTGCCGAGCACAGAGTAGCAGCGGAAGCAGTTGGGTCCTAGGATCGGAACCGCTCTGATACCATGTGAAATTGAACGAGAATGAAGGAGTGGTTTCACTAGCAGCTATGAGGATACATATAGCAAACCCCAGATGGGTTGTACTCGCTATAGAGCACCCCACTACAGGCTAGAGAATAACATTCTGACATTAACCGCCCAGTAACTGTACTCGGAGGTTACATGATGCAATCTGGTGACTGTCGAGTAGAGTAATAGGCGCGGTTACTGTAGCAATGTAATATCGTTAATAGGGGGAATGCAGGGCTGATTTTATCAGACTAAAATGGTCTGATTGTCTGATCTGACAGACTATTTTTCAATGGTTCCTGATTTTCCAGACTTGGTGATTTTCCAATAATGAGCACCTCAGAGTTGTGGTTTTCCGAATACTGAGAATTTCAGAGTATTGCCTATGCCAATAATGATCCCTCAGACTAAGTAGCGTACGGATCCTGGAAACCGGATATGTACGTACTAGGAAGCTTCCGCAACGTCACATGTTGCCGTGCCATCATGACAATCTCCTTGCTGTCACATGCGAAATCTGAACTTGGCAAATTTGCCACCCCTTGACCGACTCGGTGCCCCCTGTGCCACGCTGCACGTGGCAACCGTGATATCTCTGCAACGCTGTGTCAGCGGGAAAGCTGCACCGTGCCATCACTACGCGCTCTGTCCTGCACGGTACAGCACTGCAGAGGTGACGGGCATGGCGGCTCGAGACCAACGGCAACAGCCAGCCACCCATCAATTGGTTTGAGGACCACGGGGTCCTTCTTCTTCATAGCTCCCTTCACCACGCTGACTATGTTTCCTCGGCTGGCTCTCCCAGCAGTGTTCCAGTTAGTGCTCGAGTGACTCCTCCCATGACGGACCAAGAACGCGACCGGCCCGATTCACCTGATGCTGACCACCCTACTACCAAGGAGGGTGTGGGTAGGTCGGGGCTAGACTGCCTACGCCCCGCAGCAACGGCGGTCATACACGATACTGTTCCTGCCACCACGCCTGCCTCCCCTACGCCAACTCCAATAGTCTTAGCGCCCGCCATAGCGTCGTCTAGTAAGGGCCCCATCCCACTCACCGTGCGCACTGCATCTACCGTTCGGTACAGCGTGCCGTCAGTCACCAAATCAGTTGCGCAGAAGCGTAGTACCCAGAAATGGGTTCAGAGCACGATGGTTACTGGCGGTAGATTCCGCAAACCATCTCCACCCCCTTCAGCGCCGGCTGTGGCCACGCCCGACAAGCCACCTCCTCCTAAGTTGTCTAAGAAGGAGGAGATTGAGCAGAAGTGGCTTCTGGCTGAGGCGAATTACCACTCGAAGTGGCTTCCGTTTTTCCCATGGCTTCTGCTTGTGCGTGCCCAGGATGGGCATCCCTCGCTCAAGTGCTGCATCTGCCGTGCCTTTGGCAAGGAGACCACCAAGTATTCAGGCCCTGGCGACGGAGCGCGCGACTTACAAACGCAGACGATGCGGATACACGAGCACTCCAACGTCCACAAAGAGGCAGTGGAGCGGCAGTTGGAGATCGAAGAGTCGCTGGACGGCAAGCAGAAGAAGATCGACGATTTCACAACGAGGGACGTGGAAGGGCGGAGGGTGATTCGCCTTCTGCGTGCCACTGAGTTCATCTGTAAGGTCGATGCTCCAATCTCGATGTTCGCTCGCCTCCTACGTTTCATGTCTGAGCAGGACACGCCGGACATTCCAAGGCAGGCGTACGGCGTGTATCTTACTCGGTGAGTACCGCGTGTGCCTTCGAGTTAATCAAGTACTCACTACTTCAAATACTAACGCATTTATGTGGCACTGTTTCCATGCAGTTACGGGTTCCAAGAGATGGTGCACTGCCTTTCGTCTCTGCTTCTCTCAACTCAGCTGCGACACATCCAGAGCTCTCCGTTTTTGGGCATCAGCTGCGACGAGAGCACGGATCGCACGCGAGGGAAACACCTCATCATCTACTTAACGTTCCTTCGCTTCAACCGGCCCGTTACTGAGTTCTTTGCACACCTACCTGTTGAGAAGGGTGACGCGGCGTCCCTGCTCTCAGTCATCATGAGTCATCTGCAGACTGTCGGAGTGGACATCAACCGCATCCGCGCTATCAGCACCGACGGTGCATCGGTGATGGTTGGGTGTGACAACGGCCTGGTCCCTCGTCTACGGGAGTACATCCCTCACCTGATCTCCTCACATTGTATCGCGCACAGGTTAGTTGGTTCCACGGTTATCTATATTGCCCATGAACATGTACCTTGTACGCTTTACTAACCGATTACCTCTTTTGAATGTGCTTGTGCAGGGAGGCGTTAGCAGTTAAGGACGCTGCCCTTGCATGCCCAGATCTGGACATGATTGACAGAGTGATTCGGGCTGTGGCATCTCTACTGACGAACTCCAGCAACGTCAGCCAGCGCTTTCAGTACCTGCAGCGCACGATTCACAAAACCAACCTTGAAGTTCAAGGCATCCACGCGGTCAGGTGGCTATCGCGCGGTGTGGCTGTCCGTCGTTTCTGCAAGGTCCTCGGTGCATCGATCGTGCTCTTGCATGAGAGCAAGCACAAGTTGTACGAGACCGTCACCTCGTATAAGTTTCAGTTCTGCCTTTTCTTTCTTGCAGATGTGCTTGGCATCATGAACGAGCTCAACGTGAAGTTTCAGAAGCGTGAGGTAAGGTTGACCGCATTGTTCCCTTGTATCCTAAACCACCTCTGTTCTAAACCGTTACTAACATGTCTTGCACACCTCCCCATCCGAATCAGGTCGACGTGACCGAGATCGCCAAGGACATTGACGAGGCCACCGGGGACTTGCGCAGGCGCTACCTGGAGTGCGAGGACTTGTTGGGCGGCGGAGAAAGCCCGGCACTGTCTGAGTTCCTGACATTGCACGGGAAGGTTCCGAAGAAGAAGGTGAAGGTGCGCGGAGTTGACAGCGAAGGTGAAGCAGTGACGCACAAGTACAAGCTTCATGAGAGGAAGATTAAGGGGCACGCTTACGGCAGCACGTACACGGAGTGCGCGAAGCTGTGCACGAAATTCGCTCAAGAGTGTGTGAACCGGCTGAACTTCCGCCTTGCTGATCTACGCAAGCTAGCACCAACGAAGCTCTTTCGAGCAGCCAAGTGGCCCAAGCCTCGGCAGCAGCGCGACCGCAAGACGCGAGAGTACCTACACGGATGCGCTGCTATCTTCGACAACAAGCTCCCTGGCTTCGACCTGCGAGCAGCCGAGATGGAGCTTGGCTCGTGGGCTCCAATCATGGCGGCGCACCACGAGGATGAGGGGTTTTTTCAAGGGCTGAAGAATTTCATGGGTGTAGCTGAGTCCGCCAGGTATGTAATACGATGTGGCGGGGCTAGCTGTGTTTCTCTCACGCAATTGTGACATTCTGCTAACCGGTATGTTAATGCTCGTGTGTGATATTTTCAGGCGCTGGCCCAACATCATGCGGCTGTGGCAAGCCGCTGCCGTGATGCCGCTGTCAACCGTTGAATGCGAGCGTGGATTCTCACGCCAGAACGTCATCAAGACCTGGGTGAGAGGCTCTTTAGGCAACGCGCGCCTGGCGGAGCTGATGACGATTTCCCTACTTGACTACGAGATCGACTGGAACGCGGCCCTCGCCAAATGGCGTGAGGAGAAGCCAAGGCGCCCTGCCAAGACTCCAACCTTCGCTGCAGCAGAGAGGAAGCGCAAGGGGAAGGAGCTGGCGGACGACCAGGAACGTGAGAGGGTTGTGCGCGGGCTGGAGTGGGATCGTGATGAGTCGGATGCGGACGACGATGAGGAGGAGGCCTATGAGGAGGAGGAGGACCAGGAGCTGGACGACGACCCTTTCCGCGAGGAGGATGAGGAGGAGGAGGATGTGGAGGAGATAGGCATGGATCAGCCTGAGTGAGACCTAAGATTATTTGTAGCTGTAGGTAGGTAGGTAGGTGATTGCTGTAGGTAGGTGATAGCTGTAGGTAGGAGGAAGGAAGGATGCATCTGATCTGAGACTCAATGGATGATTGCCATGCCAGGACATTTTAACTTAGTTTTATTTAAGTCTGATTTTAGAATTTGAATAATGACCACCTCAGACTAAACCCTGAACCAATCCTGTGAAATCAGACTCAAGGAAGTTGGGGAAAATGTGCTTCAGACTAGACTGGAATTTTTTTTACCTGCTCTCAGAGTAGGTTTTTTTGAAACGTCAGCTCTGGGGGAATGTACCCCTCATAATACATGGCTAACTAGGATTGCTATTTATATCCTTGTACTTCTATCTCAAGATTATCTTGTTCTCTCTCAACTATTATTAACAAGGTCATTAGAAAGACCTCAACAGTCTTCTCACAATCTGGCTAGCTTATCCTACGCACTACGATTCTTTGGTACGGTTTATCATCATTTTAGTTGACTGGAATTTCAGCCTTTACAAAATTATATATATAAATCCTAAGGCCCAAAGTACCCCTTATTATCAGGCTTTTTTTTTCCGAAATCAGCGTGAAACATTTGAGTTATAGGAGGCATGTTAGAAGACCTTGAAGAAGGATAATCGCATGGAGGTTCATTTCTAGCATTAGATCCACAAGTTACGAGATCTCGGAGCACTGTTTAGCGGAGCCCAGAATTTGGCGAAGGTCATTCCGAAGACCAGGCAAGCATCGTCGTCAAGGCAAGCAAGCAAGGTAGGGTTGGGTTGTAAGAGTCACATCCCGCCAATAGCCGTGCTGTGTCACTGCCACACCACTTGATGTCTGCTGGATCGTCGTCATCCTGCTCGTCTTCATACGTATCACCAGCAGCGGACGTAGGAGTCTCGAAGGTTTTTATTCCGGTAGTTGTCAGGCGCATCGCGGGAACTGCTGAACAGGATGCAATGGTTCGGTGTAAGCACGAGTAACGAGATTGGGGAGCAATACCGAGGTGCGCCGTCGTGCGCCGTCTCGTCCACCACCTGCATCGCCTTCTGACACTCATGACTCTCGCGGATACACTCTCTAGCGGCAATCGTCATCAATCTCTGGCCAGTCCCGCGGTGCGCGGCGCATTCCGTGCGCTGACTAGCTAACGAACCCCTGTCATAGTCACAAGCATGCCGTCTCGCCTCGCATCGCGCCGTCGCCCGCCATTAGCAGACGGTTTCAGCTTCGATCCGCATCGCTCATCTGGACCCTCGTCTGTCTGTACGGACCAGCTCCCGGTTTCGCTCGCGATTCTATCGGATCCTTTAGCCAGTTAGCCAATCAGCAGCTAGCGCGCAACACGCGGCGCAGCAGTAGTCAGCGGCGCGTCTAGGGCTCCGTGTCGCGCCGATTTAGGGCCTTAGGTGGGCCACAGCGCGTCGAGAACGAGGTTTAGGGTTTCCTTCCTGAATACATGGTCCGTGGTTGCGCTCTGCCCTGATTCCGCCTTGGATGGTGCCGAGGCGAAGAAATTTATCCGCTTTTTCGACTCCCCCCCCTCTCCCCCTAACCCCCCGTCGCTCCGCGCCAGCTGCGGTTCTTCGCCGTCCACGCCGCATCCGTCGATGTCAAAGCAGCCCGCACTGGCTGACTGCTTTCTATCGCGAAAAGGGAATCTGCAGCTAGTGCTGCGGTTGACTCACGTTGGCAGTCGTTATTTCCGCTGCGGGGAAGTGACGCAGCGCAGCATCGCACAGCGTAACAGAGTGACCGCGTAGCAGCGTAACGTAATCCTCCACACACGGTCGCCCTACGCGCGTCAGCCAGTGCCCGTTCCTCGCACACTGTCGCGGCCTGCATGGCGCATCAAGGTGACGGCAGCGCGGGAGCAGGCAACGAGGCTCAAGCAGCGGCAGCAGCGGCGCCCGTGTACGCCGCTTACTACCAGAACATGGCGCTGCACTACGCGGAGCAGCAGCGACTGGAGCAACAGCAGCAACAGCACCAGCAGCAAACGGCGGCGTACGGGCAAGGCTCGTCGTATGATGCTTGGTATGCATACTCGTATCAGCAGCAACAGCAACAGCAACAGCAGCAGCAGCAACAGCAGCAACAGCAACAGCAACAGCAGGCTCAGGAAGTGCAGGTACGATTGCAGATGCCGATGCTCCGGTAACCTAGCTCGCCACACCGCAACTCGCACCGTTCACGCATTCGCATGCTCTGGCTTCCGCAGTCAGACCCTCGACTGTGCTTCGCCATGCAACTCCTCCCCTCCCTCCCTCCCCCCTCCTCTTGTCCCGCACTCCTTATCCACGCCCCTTCCCCCCCCTCCCTGTCGCACTCTCGTTTTCACACACGCACTCGGTAATACGCCCCACATCGTGCACCTGATACCATCTCCGTGCCATCCCCACACCCATGCGCCGCTTCCCCTTCCCAGGATCCAGCAGCAGTGGCAGCAGCAGCCGCAGCAGCATACGCACACTACTCTGCATACCCCTATCCTTCGCCCCAGTCCTATCCGCCCGCTCCCCCTTCCGCCCCAACCCCTCCTCCCGGGGCCCCGTCCCCCCCCACTCCCCCCACTGACCAACCTGACGACATTGCTCCCCCTGGCGCGGAACCCCTTGCTGCTCCTTCCGCCACCACCGCGCCCACCTCCTTCCCCTCCCCCTATTACTACACCCCCGGATCCGTCCTCCCGCCTCCTCCCCCAGCAGGCGGGGCGGAACCCGCCCCACCTCCGCCCCCGCCCCCTTCTGCGTCCCCGCCCCCGCTGCCTCCCCCACCACCCCCCCCTGCACAGCCAGCAGCAGCAGCAGCGCAGGATGGGGCAGCAAATTGGGGGTACGGGGGGGAGGCGCAGGAGCAGCAACAAGGTGGGCAGCAGGCCATGGCGGGTAGTCAATATGCACAGCAGCAGCATGAAGCGGGGGTGGCAGCAGCAGCATATGTGCCTGTGGCCCCAGCGGGTATATGGTGGAACGGACAGTGGCACCCAGCACAGGCTCAGGCACAGGCACCCGCAGCAGAGCATGCAGGCGCAGCACAGGCAGAGGCGCATAGCCATGTGCAGGCTCAGGCGTATGGGGAGTACCCTTCTGCTGCTGCTGCCTATGCCGCTGCCTATGCCGCCTCTGCTGCTGCTGCCAGCACTGCGCCGGCTGCTGCATCAGCAACAGCCAATGAGGCAGGCGGTGGTGGGGCGGCAGGTGCAGGGGCGGGGCAGAATGGCAAGGCGGGTCAAGGGGCGGAGGGCAGTGCACCGTACTTCAAATGGCAGTACACCAATGCACAGGTACTGCTGCTCCTGCTCCATGCTGTCGCAACCACGTTGTATGTATTGAACAGCAGTGTTAGCAACAGAGTAGGCACAGTGCCGCAAGAGACACGAGTCTGTGCTGTGCATGTGCCTGTGCGCGTATGTATTGCTGCTGGCTTCCTGATTCGTTCTGCCCTGCCTCCTCAGCTTGGAGCAAGCGAGTGAGTATGTGTCTGTCGGCAAGAAATAAAGTGGTTTCCTATTCTTCCTCTTTCGCAACCCATTTGTTTTGTCATCACTCATCACCACCATATCACCACCACCACCACCACCACCACCACCACCACCACCACCACCACCACCACCACCACCACCACCACCACCACCACCACCACCACCACCACCACCATGGGTCCCACCCACACGAGCAGGCTCAAAGAAAGCAGCAGCAGCAGCAGGTGAAGGCAGCGAGCAGCGTTCTGCAGTCCAAGTTCCACATCCCCTTCAACCCCCGCTTCGCCTCCACTCCCACCTCCGCCTCCTCTGCTGCCACGGCAGCAGGAGGGAGAGGCGGCACGGAGGGCAGCAGTGAGCGCGGGGCGGGGGGGCAAAGGGGTGGGGTGGCGTATGTGTCTGTGGAGGAAGGGGCGGGGAAGAAGGCCACGAGTGTGGACGAGGCTGCTGATGCTGCCATCCAGGTGCGGTGCGGTGCGGTGTGTGTTGGAATGGCAGGTGCCTGTGTGTGCTAGCCCTCTGTGCACATGTGCTTGGTGTGCATTGACAAACATCTGTGCCTGTGTGCATGTGTATGGGCACGCGCACACACGTATGTGTATGTGGGTATTGGGGTAGACCGGGTGTGCGGTTGCACAGGGAACGGCATGCCATGGCATGTGTCATGGCACTGAATCATGCTTCCTTCCTCTTCCAACAACTTGCCCACACTCTCCGCCTCTTCTATTTCCTGCAAATCTCCTCCGCCCTTCGCCCCTCCCTCCTTCCGTCTTCCATGCTCCAACGTGCATGACCTCTCTCCTCTCGCGCCTGCCACACCACACGAGCACAATGACCAGCCGGGCAAGTTCCCCCCGGGGCTAGCAGCGTATGTGGAGCGGGTGCTGGCGCGCTGCACCACAGCGCAGCACAAGGAGGAGAGCCAGCGACTCATGAAGCAGGTGCTCTGCCGGGAGGGGGCATGCGCCGCCGCCGCCGCTGCTGCTGCTGCTGCTTCTGCTGCCGCTGCTGCTGTTGTTTGTCCATGATGTGTCTATGTGTGTGTCTGTGCGTGCTGCGGGCATCAGTGCCATCATGCTGTGCACTACGACCCTGGTATTCTCATCTCTTTTTGCTTGTGCGGCGCATGTGCCTGGAGCGCATGTCATGCTCTTGTTCAAGGGTGGATCAAGTGACCAGTACGCTTTATTTACATCCCTCCCCAACCCTCCTCCCCCTCCCCTATTTGCCCTTGCTTTCTGTTCCCACTCCTCTTCCGTCTTCCCTTTCACCCTCATGTTCTGTTTCCCCCACCCTCCCCTCTGCCCCTCCCTGCCATGCTCTCTGTGCCGTGCCGTGGCATGGTACCACTGGGTGTGGTGCGGTGTGGTGTGGTGCGGTGCGGTGCAGATGATAACGGAAGCAGCGCGCAACGGCACGTTGTTCACCAAGAACTGGGACACGGAGCCGCTGCCCTCGCTGCTGCACACCACCCCCGCCCCCACTGCCACCACGTGAGTCCACGCCACACCAGCTCGCCATGCCTGTGTAGCTCTCACCTGCCTCATAGCTCCCTCTTTCTGCCTCTCTTTCCCCTGCTCCCGTTCTTGTCCCTCCGTTTTCACCCAGCACCTCACCTGTGCTGTCTTGTGGTATTCTTACTCCTTCCCCGCTCCCCCCGGTTCTCCCACTCGCCCCACTCTCCCCACTCGCCCCACTCTCCCCACTCGCCCCACTCTCCCCACTCGCCCCACTCGCCCCACTCGCCCCACTCGCGCCACTCGCGCCACTCGAAGCACTGACACAATCGCCCCTCGCCCGTCCCCCAGAACCCCATCGAGTGCGCTGCCATCGGCGTCGTCCCCCACGCCCTCGCGCAAGGCCAAGCGGTCGCGCTGGGGAGACCCGCTCGACCAACCCACCTCGCCCGCTGCTGCCCCCTCGCCCATTCAAACTGTATGCATTCCTTTACTGAGCTCCCTTGTTGCTCCTTTTCCACCACTCCTGTCTTTCTTTTCTTTCTTTTTCCTTTTTCCCGAACCCCCTTCTGCGATCCACAGCCTCACCCCTGCCCATGCTCCAACCTCTCCCTGCCCTCCAGTCCCCGTGGTTTCGTGCCTCAAACCAGCAGCAGCAGCAGGGAGGGCGGGGAGGGAAGGGCAGGGCGAGCAGGTGGGCGCCTGACAGTGCAGCAGCCGATACAAGCACACCAGGGGGGGTAGCAGCCGCAGTCGCGGCAGCTGTGGCAGCAGCAGCAGCCGTGGCAGCGGCAGCAGGGAGGGGGCCAGCAGCAGCAGGAGCAGCAGTGGGAGGGGGGGCAGTGGGCATGGGGGACGCGGACAGGATAGCGGAGGAGCTGAAGGAGGGATACTTTGCAGGCAGTGGTGGCGCGTTTGGTGCGGGCGTGAACGAGAGCGCAGGGGAGAAGGCACGGCGGTTGCAACGAGCGGCCAGGTTCGAAGGCACACTGGGACAGGACGAAGAGGGCTTGGGGAAGGGCGGTGGCAAGGGAGCAGGGAGAGGAGGGGGAGGCGGTGGGAGGGGAGGCAAGGCCGGGAAGGGAGGGAGGGGTGGGGGCGGGGCAGTGGCAGTGGCGGTGGGAGGGGCTGGGGCTGTGAGAACGTCGATTCGAAGAGCCAAGGCGCACTCGCTGGCGCTGGCGCGTGCTGTGAGGCAGGGGCGCGCTGCTGCTGCGGCGGCGGCTGCCGCTGGTGGTGGGGTGGGGGTGGGGGGCGGGGCAGTGGAGGACATGGACTGGGACATGCTGACCATCAAGGGCACGTGCAGGAAGGTCGAGAAGAGCTACCTGCGCCTCACTGCTGCTCCCGACCCCTCCACTGTATGCCCGCCCTGCCCCGCCCTGCCATGCCCTGCCACGCTGCTGACTCCTGCCGTGCCCTGCCGTGCCCTGCCGTGCCGTGCCGTGTCGTGCCGTGCCGTGCCGTGCCGTGCCGTGCCGTGCCGTGCCGTGCCGTGCCGTGCCGTGCCGTGCCGTGCCGTGCCGTGCCGTGCCGTGCCGTGCCGTGCCGTGCTGTGCTGTGCTGTGCTGTGCTGTGCTGTCTTGTGCCGTGTTGTGCTTTGCTGCGTTCTTGCCATCATGCGCCATGCTATGTTTGTCTCTGCACCGTACGATGTCAGTGACCCGTGCCATTTCCTCTCCCCCCAGGCTCCCTTCCACTTCTCCCCCTTTCCCTTCCGCCTGTCTTCTCCCTTTCCCTTCCACCCCTCCCTTCCCCCCCTCCCCTTCCATTTCACTTCCCTCTCTCCGCTCCCCTTCTCCCTTGCGCCTCATCCTCCGCGCCCTCGGCCGTGCCAGGTACGACCCCTGGACGTGCTACAGGAGGCACTGGCCATGGTGCTGGCAGCGCACTCGCAGGGGGGCGCGGAGGATGAGGAGGCGGGGGTGGGGGGGCAGGGCGGCAAGCGCGGGTACCTGTGGCGGTGCGACCAGCTGAAGAGCATTCGGCAGGACCTCACGGTGCAGCGCATCAGAAACGAGTTCACTGTGCAGGTAAGAGGTGGCAGAGGGTGGGGAGGCTGTGCTGACGAGTGGACTGGCAAGATGACTGGGAAATGCCTGTTGGGGGAATGACGGAGTGGTTGTGCCGGACTGGGTTGGGGGGATGGGGAGGGCTTGACGGGCAGGGGTTGGGAGGGCCTGAGGGGCAAGGATGGGGAGGGTGGCGGAGGAAGGGTGTGGCTGTGCGAGGAGAGGGGGTGAGAACGGGGGGTTGTGCATCAATGGTTAGGTGCCAGCGGGTTCTGTTTCCCTTGCCCTCGTTTGTTCTTTTCATTTCTGTGCATGTGTCTTGTCTGTGTGTGTATGTTTGCACGCGTGTGTGCGTGCGTGTCTGTGCGTGTGTGTGTGTGGCCGTGTGTTGGCCTGACCGGCAGGTGTATGAGGTGCATGCGCGCATGGCGTTGGAAGCGGCTGACATGCCCGAGTTCAACCAGGTACCCTCCACCACACCACACCTGCCCCTCATGCACCTTCACTTCCACCTACTCGTACACCGGCATCTGCTGCTACGGCTAGGGAGGGGTAGTTGCCTGTGCGCGGGGCAGAACGTGCCGTGTTTGTGTTTCTTCTCTCCATTCACAGCAGCCTTATCTCCCGTTCCTCATCTTCCCTGTGAAGCGCGACCTGTCTGCCACGTCCTCTTCCTCCTCCTCTTCCCCACCACATTCTCCTCACCCACTTGCATCCCTCCCACATACGCTGCCGCCACTTCCTTCCTCCTCTCAAGCCTCCCTTTCCCCGTGCCTCGTGCCTCCTGCTGTTCTCACTGCCCTGGGAGCGAGCGCGTGCAGTGCCAGGCGCAGCTGAAGGGGCTGTACACAGAGGGGTGGCGCGGGCACAGGGGCGAGTTCCGCGCGTACGCACTGCTGCACAACGTGCTCTCGCAAGGGCCCCGCTACGACCTGCAGCATGCCATCGCCAGGTGTTGGGGGGGGTGTGGAGGGTGTTTGGCTGGCGTGCCGTCCTGCTGGAGCGTGTATGTGTGTCTGCAGTGCGGGCACATGCATGCATGCGAGTGTGTGTGTGGGCTGCTTGTGGGACAAGAGGCTGTGTGTGGTATGGTGTATGTGCTGTGTGTGCGCGCTGTTCAGTGTGTGTTGGGATGAGAGAGCGTGCGTAAAGGCAAAGTGTGCTGTGTGTGTTTCCTGGCTTGCGTGTTGCGTGTATTGCCCAGAGTGTGTTTTTGTTTCGAGGTAAGCGCAAGGGAAAAGGATGTTCAAGCGCACGAGTTTTCCTGCGTTTGAGCGCGGTGCTCTGTGCCTTAAAGTGCGGGTATGGTTTCATGTGACTGAGCACGGTGTCAGCATATTCGAGTGCAGGCATGGTTGCATGCGTACACGCTTTTTGAAGCAAGCAAGCAGCAGGTGAGCACACACAAGGATCAGCACCCCATTCTGTCCCGCCTCTCCTTGCCTGACCCCTATCCCCCTCCGCGCCCCCCTCCCCCTCATGGTTCCGTGCCCCCAGGGTGACCAAGGAGGAGCGGCAGGACAGCATCATGGCGCATGCGCTGAGAGTGCGCGAGGCGTTCAGCCGGCGTGACTACAGCAAGTTCTTCTCACTCTACCGCCATGCACCCACCCTCATCCAGCTCCTCATGGGTGCGCTGCCCTGCGCACTCGCTCCTTACCCATCCGTCCTCAACACATACGCGTGCACACGCACATACGCACTCTCCCACAAGCACATATGCACCTTCCCACACGCATACACACACACACACACACTCACACACACACAAGCACACACACACACGCAACCACGCACACACGCACGCACACACACACGCACACGCACACACGCACGCACGCACCCACACACACAGGCACACACACGCACACGCGCACACGCACACGCGCACACACGCAGGCGCACGCAGGTAGAGAAGGTTGTGCGGATGATTGGTCGTGCGCACGAGCAGTCATTTGCACTCATTGTTGCTGATGCCGTCCCCTTCACATGCACCACCACCCAAGCAGCACCCCATGTCCAGCGACTCATCGCCCATCTCCTGGCTCTTCAACGTTCTCTCGCTTCGCAGTCCCATTCACCCACTTCCACCCTGCTCTGCATTACCGACCACCCCTTTCCAACTCGCGCTCATAAGTACCTCAGGGACATTTGTGCTGCGGAGAGCCGGTCTCACACTCCCACCTTTCTCCCTGCCCCCGCCCACCTTCGCTCCTCCCCCCTCCCTCGCCGACTTCCCCCCTCCAGACATGCAGGTGGAGAAGCAGCGGTTTGAGGCGGTGCAGAGCATGGCAAAGGCGTACCGGCCATCACTGCCCGTGCAGTACATCTCACACGTGCTGGCGTTCGGGGATAGTCGTGACGACAAGGATGCCGCACAGCCTGCACAGCCTGCCACACAGGGGGACGGGAGTGTGGAGGGCAGAGGGGAGGAGGGCGGTGCAGCGGTGCAGGAGTGCTGCGAGTGGCTCAAGGCGCATGGGTGTGTGCTGCTGGCCGAGGACACTGCTGATCCCCTGCTCGACTGCAAGGTCAGTCACCTGCCCTCCCTCTCCCTCCCCCACACTCACTGACACCCTCACTCATCCGCTTTCTACTTTCCTTCCCCGGCTCTTCCTTCGCTCCATCATCGTGGTTCAAAAACGAGCACATAAAGACACACTTGCAAGGATTCACTCGCAAGTGTAAACCCCCTATTATTCCCGAAGCTAGCATCGCGCCCCACCCCAACCCCCCCCCCACACATCGTCCCCTCGCGCCACACGGTGGGCGCGGCACCACCAGGCGAGCAGCGGGGGGCTGTTCATGCCAGAGGCGGAGGACGTGGTGCCGCATGGCGACGCCAACCTGCAGGTCGACGACTTCTTTGCACGCCGCCCCGATGACGACCCAGACGCCTGACCTCTCTCCCTCCACTCTCCGCTCTCCGCTCTGCTCTCTGCTCCCGCATGGGGGGCGTTGCAGCCTGGGTGGGAAGGGGTCCACAGGCCGAAGGCCAAGGGGGGGCAGAGAGGCGGGGAAAGAGGGAGGGTGATGCGCGCGGCACGGGAGGAGGGACATGGACGGTGCGTGAGGGGGACGGCAAGGCCGAGATTTGATTGCATGGCATCTGGTCCTGCGCGGTGTGTGGTGTGGCAGGATGGGAAAGGATAGAGATGATGGCATGGCAGGAAGGCATGGAGGGAGGTATGGGTGGTAGTGGGGTGGCTGCTCCAGCTGCCCGCATAGCATACAGCCAACCCAAGGTCCACAAGACTGGCATGCTGCCCCCATGCACGATGTAGGTATGACGAGACATGGTGTCTGCAAAACAGCAGTCGTTGGGAACAACAAGCAGTGGGACATGTGTTGTGCGGCAGCACTGTGTAAAGGGTGTGTCGCGTTTCTAATGACGGGCGTTTGGTCCAATCACAGTTGGCAGGTGCCTCCGGTGCTGTTGGCAGGCTTGCCAATAACGTGGGATGAGTGAGCATGGGGTGGGGGGAAGGTGGAAGCGGTGCATGTGCGTGATGCCAATGCCGAAGGCTCGCACTTTGAAGGTGCGCCTTCCAGCAGGCTGGATTTTCGTGGTGCCTTGGCTTCTTATGGTCCAAATAACTCCTGTGCAGCCTGCTCATTGTTTCAACCTTGCTAGTTGTGAGCAGCTGTTTGGGGAGAGAAGCGAATGGTTTGCAATGGAAATGTTGTTCTAGCCATCCCGTTTTCTGATAGGACAACATACTGTCTAAATAACTAGTAGTGTTATGCCATTTGCATTCCCATTATACAACCTGTCAAAACTTCCATGCTTGCTTTAATTGAAGAAGCCTTACTGTAGTGCTGGTTTTTTTTCGCAAGAATGTAACAGTGGTACCATAAAAAGTTCCCAGCAACCGGAAAGGCATTATTTTTCCCAAGAATGAAGACAAAGCAGTGATCTATGAAACACAAATCTAGAACAAACACAAGTAGCCACGTTGGGCTCAATTCAAGGGTTCTCAATGCACATGGGGCAACCCCAAGCACCAAGGTGAAGTGGCGATAGCCTCACGAGCCCTCCCCACAGACCGTGCAGCACTATCCCCACCCTGATGGGTTATTGCAGTGGGGAGAACGAGGGAAGTAGAATGGGCAGGGGGTGAGAGAGAGAGAGAGTGAGAGAGAGAGATAGAGAACTTTGAGGGAGGAGTGGGTGTGGATCAGAAGCCAAGGTTGGAGGCACAGGCAGTGACACTGTGTGTGCGTGCACCCACCCCTTGTGCATCCACATCCAAGCAGCACCCCCCCAAGCTGCCGCGCGCCCTGCTCCTCTCCACCCCTGCACCCACCGCCCCTCCACCACCAGCAGCAGCAGCACCCACGGCTCCCCTGCCAGCTATGCCAGCAGCATGCAGGTGCGGCCAGGCAGCAAGAGTCACACAGGCGTCAGGCGTATGAGAGGCCTTCCCCAGGCAGCCTGCAGCCGCAGGTGGTAGCACCGCGTGCTTGGTGGTTGGGGCAGCAGCAGCTGTGTGTGCGGCGGCGGTAGCAGCAGGCGGTGCAGAGTCCACGTCCATGTGCCACCCCCCCACGGCACCTCCTGCTGCCCCCCCCTCCTCCTGCACTGCCATCGCCTCACACACTGCCTTGCCACCACCACCAGCAGTGGCAGCAACAGCAAGAGCAGCCGCAGCAATAGACGCAGAGAGGAACGGGCCAGGCGGAGCAGGTGATTCCGCATGCTGGAGTCCCCCTCCAGCTGCCTCGCCGCCCACGGCACCGCTGCCCGGCAGGGCACCATGGTGGTCACTGTCTAAGTCACTGGTCTTGTCCAGCAGCAGCACGGACGCGCCTGGGAGGTCGTCCATGGTCTGCAGGTACTCCATCACACTCTCACTCACTCCGCTCCCCGCCCCTGCACTGCTGCTACTACTGCTGCTGCTACTGCTGTTGCCACACGCGCCCCTCGCCAACTTGCTGCTGCCTGCCACAGCTGATGCTTCATGACTTGCGGCCGTGTGTGCTGCTGTTCCCATGCTAGTGCCGCCAGTGCCGGTTGTAGCACTGGTTGTAAACGCTGCAAGAGCAGGTGTTGTGTGGTGGTGCTGCTGATGGATGGGGACAGCTGTCTCCTCTTCGCTGTCCTCTTCCTCCACCCCCCATCCTGAACCAACCCGGCCACTGCTGCCATTCGCAACCAGCGCATTCACAGCACCACCACCACCACTGTGAGAAGTATCCACAGCCGTAGCAGCTGAAAGCCCCAAAGCAGCAGCAGCCGCGGCGGCAGCAGCAGCGGTGCTGGCAGACGCCTCCCCAGCAGCAGGTGCAGCAGCAGCCACAACAGCATGGCGGAGGGGCATGTGGGTGGCCATGGCCAGTCGCTTGGCAACAGGCAGGTCCAGGGGCGCCGGGTTCACGCGCTTCTGCCCCAACACCTGCCTCTCGTGCCTGCCATCCTCCTCTGCCTGCTGTGGCAGCATCTTCACCTGCCGTCCACTCATCTCCGTGCCATTCCCGCCACTCCTTGCGTCCCTACCTCGGCCCAAGTGCAAGTCACCTCCAAGAGCCTGCTGCTGCTGCTGCTGCCCGTCACTGCCATCTGCACCTTTTGCCTCCCCGCCCTTGACTGCTACGCCATCCTGCCGTGCCGCGCTGCTCGCGTGAGCAGCAGCAGCAGCAGTGTGCAGAGCGCTGACGACCTCTCCCTGGTGGAGCTCTTTGTGTGAGACAAGAGTGCTGGTCGTAGCGCCAGTGCCCACAGGAGTCGCAGCAGCGGTACCCCCAGGACTTGAAGCTGGGCTGGCAGCAGCAGTGACATCAGCTGCAGTAGCAGGAGCAGGAAGGGCAGCAGCATAGGAAGCAGCAGTGCGGGAGCAGGCAGCAGTATGGGAATCGAGAAGAGCAGAAGTGAGAGTTGAAAAGGCAGGAGGGATGGGTCGGGACAGTGGGGAGCGGGCACGAGCAGTGGCAGTGGGAGCGGCATTCGTAGTGGTGACAGCAGTTGCCGGAGCACTTGTTCCTGCTCCATCCCCTTCCTCCTCCCCTTCCTCCTCCTCCTCATCTCCCTCCCCTCCGAATGCGAGCATGGCATGCGGCCACAGCTCCAGCACGCGGAGTAGGGTGCGCGCAGCCATGCGTTCCTGCTCCGCCTCCTCGTCCTCCGCGCTCATCACCTCGCACACCGCGCCTGCGCCTGCGCCTTCCCGCTCGCCCGCGCCAAGAGGCGCAACCTCGAAACCGCTCGCGCGTGCAGCCAGCGGGGGTGCCGCACCTGCGCCACCAGCAGCGGCCGTGGCGGCAGGGGTATTAGCAGCAGCGGCACCAGTGGCAGCCGCGGCAGCGAGCGCAGCAGGGCGCAGGCCGCCCGGGAATGATTCCTCCACCAGCGCTTGAAGCGAGGACGCGGAGGAGGAGGCGGAGAGGAAGAGCGGCGGAGGCGGCGCAGCGCGGGGGCGTAGGCGACCGGCGGCAAGCGGGTGGTGCGGCGAGGGCAGCGAGAACACCGCCATGTCGTCCGCTGCTGCGGCCGCCACGCTAGAAGGCCCCCCCACGGGGTGCGGCGCTTGCGGTGGCGGAAGAGGCGCATCGCCGAGCGGCGCAGCGGCGGGGGCGAACCAGCGGTGCGAGGTGGTGCGACCCAGGGGAAGCAGGCAGCGCATACCCGCCAGGAACGAGTCCGCCGACGTGCTCTTGTGCAGCGCCGCGTGCTGCGCCTCCTCCTGCTGCTGCTGCTGCTGCTGCCGGTGATGATGCGCGCCGAGGGCGGACGACCCTGATGCGGGCGTCACGGGCGCGCTTCGAGAAGGGCCCAGCCGGGGGTTAGGGGACATTGGTGCTGAGGTTGGTGGGGGTGCCGGCGATGGGGAAGGAAAGGAAGGCGTGGGCGCGTTGTGAACAATGGGCGACTGTCCGTGAGCGCACGCAAGCGCCTGTGTGTGTGCATGCGCGTGCGCGTGGGTTCCATATCCGTCGCATCTGTGCAGCTGCTGCTGCGCCTGCTGTGCGCGCATGGCGGGGGAGAACGCTGACCCGCTGCTCCCCGGGCTGCGCGTGATAGAGCCAGCGACGGCGGAGGACATGTGTCCACCCACAGCGGCATGTGCGGTGGCAGCGGGCAGGGCACCATGCGGCGCGAGAAGAACGAGAGGGGCGTGCGAAGGGCTGCCGGGCCGTGACGCGGTCTCCACGGCGTGTCGCTTCACGTCGCCTCTCGCTCCTCGCTCCCACTCCCCTTCCCCCCCACCACCCGCTCCGGTCTGCTCGCTGCTGCTTCCGCTCCGCCCAGCATCCCCAAGCGCCTCTCCCCCGTCCGCTCTTCCCTGCTCCTCCTCCGCTTCCGCCGTCGTTCCCCGCGCAGCACCAGCGCCAGCGCCGTCCGCCGGCGCCATCTCATGCCCCGCGACATCACCCGCATCGTTTCCGCCATCCCCGCGCCCCACGCTGCTGCTTCCGCCAGTGCTGCTGCTGCACGCCAGCCGCTTCCGCCGCGCGATACCCGCTCTTCCGCCCATCGCCTTGCTGCCTGTAATGACGTCAGCATCGACACCAGAGACACCGGGAGGACGGCCAGTGGGTCCAGCGGAAGAGACGCCGGGAGTTGCGGCGGAAGTGCCGCCGAAAGCTAGCCTGCGCGGTCTCCGCCCCAGGGAATGACCCGGGGGGGCATGCTCCGCGCATTGCGGAAGCGGCGGAGGCAGCGGTCGTGCGTCGGTGACGGCGGGAGGGTGAAAGTTGCACGAGAAAACGGGCGCGGGATCGTCGAGCGGAAAGGCGGCCGGGGAGAGGAGGAGCGGGGAGAGCGCGCGGTTGGCGGAAGGGCAGGAAGCGGGGATAAACGTGGGAGTAGCGGGCGGCTGGCTGAACGGGGAAATAAGGTGCGCGGCCGGTGGGGTACCGTTCTCCGCGCTTGCAGCGGCTGTCGCAGCGTAAGTCCCCGCGGACGGGGACACATGCGCGGAGTGCGCGGCGGTCAGTCGTGCGCCAGCGGCAGAAGCAGGGCAGCGGGAGGGGTAAGGGGAGGTGGAAGCGGGAAGGCTGGCAGCGGGGGAAGGACGATGGTACTGCGGCGGAAAGAACGGCGAGGCGGAAGCGGTTGAGGCGGGTGCATGCGGAACGGCGGAGGCGCAGGGCTCGGAGTGGCAGCGCACAAGGTGGTCGGGGGAAGAATCGGGGAACGCGGGGGATAAAGGCGGTGCTGGCGGCGTAGCGTCGTCGGTATTCGCAGCTCCCGGGCGCGTCCCCGCGCGGCCCTTCTCGCTTGTGTGCGCACTCTGTTGGTTCGCGGCTATATTCGGGAAGCTGCACACGCCCTGTTGACTCCGTTGACCCTGTTGATGCTGTTGCTCCTGTTGACCCTGGTAAAAAGCTGCATTTTGCTGCTGCTGCTGCTGCTGCTGCTGCTGCTGCTGCTGCTGCTGCTGCTGCTGCTGCTGCTGCTGCTGCTGACCACATTGACCAGGCGGGATGTGGTGATTATAACGAGCGGAAGATCCGCTGCCCACGTCAGCACCCTCCATCTTCACGCACTTCCACCCTTGTCCGGCTGCTCCAGATCCGGAGCGGAGCGCGGGCGCGGCGGAACCTAGCGGTGATGGCGCGGGGGCAGCGGAAGCAGCGGGTACAGCGGAAGCAACCGTGGAGGTGGACGGGCCCCCTACTGCTGATGGCGACGCGCGGATGGACGATGGCGCAGACGCGGCCAGCGCGGGAGCGGAATCACCGGATCCGCCAGCCGCGGCGGCGGAAGAATCACCAGTGGCGCCCGCAGCAGAAGCCCCCCCGGCAGCGGATGCGGTGGGCGCGGAGGGAGGGCGCGGGGTGACCTGCTGTAGCAGCAGCGCGATGCGGCACGCGACGACCTTGTTGTTGCGCTTGCGCTCCGACGGCGTGGCGATGACCGACGGCAGCGGCACGGCGGCCACTGCGGCCCCCGCGGACATGCTGTGAGGGAGATGCGGGGGAGGGACGAAGGAGGGACGAGGCCAAGGAAAGACAAGGAGTGAGAAGCGGTGGGACAACAGGGCGAGAGGTGGAGGGGTAGAGAGGAGAGGGGAAGGAGATGGAAGAGAAGAGCATGAGTAGGGGCTTACAGGTCCGGTGTGACACTGGTGAGAAGAACGGGCGCCATACGCGCACCGCCGTTGCTGCCGCTGCCACCAGCACCGCTGGTAGATGCAACCGTGGCAGGTCCAGCAGCAGCAGAACCGCCTGCTGCTACACCTTCATCCCCGCTACAAGCAGACACCCCGCTCTCTCCGGCAGCATCGCACTGCTCCGCCTTCACTCCCGCGCCACCGCACGCAACACCGCTCCGCGCCGGAAGTGCCGCCGCGGCTGCTTCTGCTACCGCATCCGCCAACGTTCTTCCCGCCATCACTGCCGAATCCTCTTCCGCTTTCACCCGCACCTGCGCAGTACCCGCAACTTCTCCGCCTACAGCCGCTGCGTTTACGAGCGCGCGCGGTGAGGAAACGTCCTTTCCCGACGGGACATGGCCACCGGGAGCACATTGATCGACTGCTTGCTCTGTCGCACGAACGTCAGGTTGTGTTAACGTCGTCGACTGGCCTACTGGCTGCGCTAGGGAAACAGGTAGAGTTGACGGAGACGGTGAAAGAGACGGCGACAGCGGCGACACGGAAGCGGGTCCGGGAGCAGGCGATCCTAAGGGAACGAGACCGCTGGTGCTCACGGCACTGGACGACCCCGCACGCGGCCCACTGGCGGGAGACGAGGCCGGCGCTGACGGCTGGATGCGCGTGGCGGTAAGGGCGGCAGATCCGACAGCTGCTGACACCGCTGCGGGTGCTGGTGATGAGAGAGTGGGAGACGGGAGGGACGGTGATGCTACCGGCGCTGATTGCAGTGCCGGTGATGCTGGTGCTGACGGTGCTGGCGACGCTGACGGTGCTGACGGAGTTTGTGCGGCGGGCTGCGCGGGAGCCGCTGCGGCGTGAGAAGCATCCACGACCACCGCAGATGTTGTCCCGAGACATCGCCTGGCGGAGGAATACGCGCAGGGCGGAGATCGGGAGAGAACAAGAATGAGAGAGCGAATGAAGGGAATTCAGAAAGGGGTCGGGTGAATGGGGAGGAAATTTATGCAAGGCGAGAGAGACTCGACTGAAACCTCGTGACAAGCCGGGGGAAACAGGGGTGTAATGCGATCGACGGAGAGGAGAAGCGGTTGCGGGAAGGACGTACTTTTTTAGGAGCAGGAAGCGGTTGCAGCATGACTTCTGGTCCCGCTGAGGCAGCTGCCCCGTGGCTTGCAGCAGCCCCCAGTAGCGGCTGCCGTAGCGCATCACGTGGTTCAGCAGAATCTTATCCTCCTGCACACGCATCGCAAGAGGGGAGAGCGGCGGAGAGGGAGAGCGGGGACGCAAGCGTAGGAAAATGTGAAGAGGATTCACTCGGCCAGCGCGTTAGACAAAGCAGCGGGTTTGGAAGGATCGTGGCGGAAAATCAGAAATCCAGCTTCGCGAATGCGGCAGGCGGCAGCGAGGGCAGAGAAGGATGGGCGCGCAAGAAGGTGCCAATCCGAACGATTCATCCCAGCGTGCTGTCTCCTCGCCCAGCCGCCGCGGGCATGACACACGCTGAGAACGCCACTAAGCGCCTTAAGAGGAGGCTACTGTCCTTCCGTTGTATGAGGACGAGTTCTCTTAGCAGCTTCGACTGGCATGTACGACGCGATGTTGAGCGGGATTGCAGTGCGAGACCTACTGGCGCACCTCAGGGGTCCAATGGCATGACGAATTCTTCCCGGCCTTTTCCTTGGCGTCCTGCGCCTGCTGTTGCTGTGACGGCGGCGACTGACCCTTGTGGTCGTCATCGTCCTCCCCTTTACCGCCCATATCCGTTCCTCCCACCGTTGCCTTCCCACACACGAGGGCCTCTCGTCAATCCCTCGCGTGCCGTCACTTCCCCCAGGTGGCTGGCTCGTGAAATTCAGCTGTTTCGCAATCAATTCTAAGGCAGATCAAGATAGAGAGAGCATGTCCTCGGATGCAAAGGGCACTGATGTGAGAGCTAGTTTTGCTCCGTTGCGAATTCCAACAGCGCAGTGGCGAAATGGCTAAGCCACGGCGGGCGTGAATCGCTGGATCACTATCTGCTGCGGCGTGCAGCTCAAATTCACAGGTTGCGTGGTTACTATCAAACCCTTGGTTCACGCGCCACTCGTCTTTCAAGAACCCTTGCTTCCACGCTCCGGGGCGGGAGACGCACTTTTTACGATGGGAGCGAAGCGTGAGACGGTGTTGTGTTGTGCCCTGGGCGAATCTCTCGGTGGAGGCTGAGCTACTGTTGACTCGCGCCTTGAGTGGGTGTGGGGTGGATGCGGTTCAGCTGCTGGCTACGAGATAGAAAGCGACGCATGGGCGGCACGGTGAATTTGGGACTCCAAGGGCGGGGCATGGGATGGGTTTATGGCGAGGTTGGGTGAGGGACAGGGCTATAGGGGGCGACATTCAAGCTATGGTGTGGGATGGGTTGAAGGGCGGCGCGCATGCCAGCCGCCTTGGTTGTATGGGTATGAGAGGCAAAGGGTAACAGGCAGGTGAAAGGACGCTAGCGCCATGTCACTGATAACTGGGGTTCAAGTGGTGGACCAGAGCCGAACCTGGGCAGCCATACTCCCGATATAAGACTCCTAGAACACGAGCTAGACACATGTTTCGTTGTGCCTGGTTCTGTGAAGGATGTGATTCAAGGGAAAACTTCCGATGTAAGTGCCTTCAGCACCTGCGCGTTGAGTCACCCAGGGCTTGCTCAGCTGCTCAGCTTGTGTAGGGCCGCGAAACTGATTGGTTGACGACTCGCGCTTCGCCACTAACCAAGAGCTTTGTTCTTGTCGCGCCTCGAAGCCAAGCCTTTCCCCAGTTTGAAGTGTGCCTTGGCCAGACTCGCGAGTTCGGCTTGTGCCGTGTCGGTTGGGCAAAGAAAAAAGCGGCTTGCGTCCTTCAATACAGCAGCGCGTCAGAGACAAGCAGGTCAAGCTATGGTGAAGTCAGTGAGGGACATTGCCAGATAAGGTGTTCTTTAAACGAGATATCTGCGCTGAAGCAAAAACACATAACCAATTTATAAAGTGATCATGTTTTTTGGATATTGGGAGTTGGGAAAATATGTCACAAGTAACCAACATGGGCCTCGATAACGTGAATGGTAAAAAATTCACGCGTACGGTCACTGTATCGGGTTTGCTAACGGGGTTGGTAAGTGGGCCACGTCTTCAGTCACTAACAACAGGCAAAAAAACGCACGAATAATCACAAATGTAACTCCCGCCAAAATTTCTTGAAACTCTACAAAATTCCCACTTGCGCCCTTCCAATCAGCTTGTTACGATATGGAATAGTTGAATAAACATTCCTGAGTAACAAATCCTTAACGCGAAGATGGCTGCAGCGAGGACGAAAGACCAAGCGACGAGACAGTTATCAAGACAGTTACAAGCAAGAAGAATTTGAAGTGCAAAGCGCGGCAAAAGTTCAAACGGTTACCAGACCACATACGGTTACCGAACCGCACGGTTGCGATGCTGCACCTAGATTAGCTCTAAGCGGAATGTACCCCCTCAGAGTACATGGCTTGTTAGGACCTTTCGTATTCCACTGTATTCTTGTATAAACCCCTGTACCGTATTGTATTAGGGTACATTCCGCTCTGGACACTTTCTCAAAGAAAGTGTCTGAATCACTTTTTGCCTGAGTCGCCCTTAAATGTTTCGGAACCTCATGTCCCAATCAATAAATGTACTGCGACCATGCACGACCGCGCGACAATTATACGAGAAGGGCTGTGATTGGCCCTTCGCGTGAATGGACCACTCATTGTGACAAGGTTGGGGAAAGTGTATAGGGTCACGGTGGGAGATATGTGAGGAAGCCCTGATTGACCAATCACGCTTCAGTGTACGCGTTGGATGGGAAAAAACGAACAGTAAAATCATGACCAGGTACATGCAGAGGGGATAGACCTTTGGAACCGCGTGCGATGGCAGATCATTGTGACGATGGTGTTCAATAAGCCCGCGACAGTCCGTGGTTCACGCCAGCCAATCGAAAAAACGTTTTGCGACTTTGATGCGCGGTCCGGAAATCCGACACATGGCAGCATATGCTGCAGGTACGCGTCACAATCGATTCACACACTTTGTAAGGGTACATGTCCAGAGCGGAATGTACCCTTAGTCACTTCTGTCGAGATTCAAATCTCCTTCTTCTGACAGAGTCTATACCCGACATTACCTAGCAATCTTCCGCTGCTACACTCTGTGCGATCAACCTGAGACGATCCTATAAGACGGTTCAGATTGTATCATCGTATGAGAGCCACTTAGGATTCTTCGCACCACCACCTTTGATTTAAATTCAAATTCAAGGTGGCGTTCGGTACGCGCTCCCGCTGAAACATGGCTGGAGGGTCTGGCGGAAAAGCGGCCAACACTGCCGAAGCCCCCGCCAACCCTACCGCGAACTCCGCGGGAACTACCACCGTCAGCAATGCGCTGCTGGAGCAACTCATACAGCGGATTTCTATACTGGATTAGGAATTCAGCAACTAAAGAGTGTTAACCCTGAAACCGCTCAGCAACCCGATCAACCGGCCGCTCTAACCAAGCAACAGAGCCCAATCACCTTTGGTCTCGGGTCAAACTCTTCTGCTCCAACAGTTCCTAGTCCAAGTGACGAAGCCATGCTCGCAGCTCAGAACAAGTTTCTAACTATCTCCAATATTCGAACCAGCACCATGTTTAGCGGGCGAGATTTTTACACATGGAGTTTCGAGCTCGAGTTACTTCTACAAAACGCGCAATTTTTCTGCTACTTTGACGGAAGCTACGATGGCCCTTCCAGTGACACCGACGACACAAAGGCTCAGTACTACAACGAGTCGCTCATGGCGTATAGCGTCCTACTCCGGAACATGGCACCGACCGAACAACTCGGCATTCGACCATATAAAACTCACCAAGCTCCCGCCATGGCCGCCTGGAGCTACCTCAACAAAACTTACCAACCTAAAGACTCAGCATCTTCCAGTCGCCTCCTACAGCAACTCATGGAAGTCAAGATGGCACCTGGTGAGAAAGGTGTCAAGAAAGAAGGCAGGAAATTAGAACAGAAGAAGGGGGTTGCACTAGCAGCAGATAGGATACATATAGCAAACCCTAATTTGGGTTGTACTCTCTAGAGAGTACCCCACTGCAGACTAGACAATTATAGCATCGTGACACACCCGCATAGGCAAAGTGGGGTATGATTAGCACAACAAGCAGTCGCATAAGAAGTTCACAGGCACAAGCAAATCTAGAGGCAGTCACAGAGGGCAAGTGAGGAGGAGGAGGGACTATGAGAGGAGTGGAGATAGGAGGCGACGGGTGAAGCCGCAGACACACGGGCAACAGGAGCGGCGCGCATGGTTGCTACCGGAGTAAGGGCCCTGGACTACAGGAGTAACTGGCTCCGCGGCTAAGACGAGCGGCAGGAGCAACGGACCCATGGGCGACTGGCGCAGCAGGCTCGCTGGGCTACCGGAGGAAGGGCCTCAGACTACTGGCGCTGCTGACGTCACGACGGCTACCTCTGCTCAACCTCTCCCAACTGTCCCACACCCCTTTCACACACCCCTTGCTGCACCCCTAGCTCCACTCCCACAACACCCCCCTAGCGCCACTCCCTCGGCTCCCACACACCCACCCCCCTCAGCGGCAGCTGCAACAGTGGGAGTCGGAGGAGGAGGAGGAGCAGGGAACGGCTCACACACCCGCCACCCCCATACCCGCCATGAGAAGAATAGAACGAGAATGAATGAACTATGAGTGAAGTGGGTACAAGTACTAACCCTAATTGGGTTGTACCCCCTATGGGATACCCCACTATAGCCTACACAAAAGCATAAGCTATAATGTTCTGACACACCCCCATAGGCAAAGTGGGGGAGAACAAGGGGTCACAAGACCAGTCAAGCAAAGCAAAGCAAAGCAAGCTCAGGGTGGATCACAACGTCACCACACAGTCTGAGCACAAGGTCAAGGCCACAAGGCCAGTTCACATGCAGGAGGAGACATATATGTATAAGTCTAAACAAGCAAGAGCAGGTATATATATATGCAAGAGTACAAGTAAGGTCAAGAGGTGAGCAAGTGAGGCAAGACTGGGACAAGTCCCAGCTGAGTACAGAAACGCTGATGATCACAAGGCGGAAGTGCCTTGGTGAAAACATCAGCAGTGTTGGCCTCAGAGGCCACGTACGCAAGTCGCAACTGACGACGCTGCTGCAGCTCACGAGCAAGAAAGTAGCGGAGAGCAATGTGCTTCGTTCTGTGCTCCAGGCGCTGCTCTCGACACAAGGCCAGCATGGCCTTGTTGTCTACGTACAGCACTGGAGGAGAACGAGGCGGCTCTCAAAGGTCAATCAGCAGGTAGGTGAGCCAACGAAGCTCCTGAGCAGCCATGGCCCCGGCGTAGATATCAGCCTCACAACTGGAGCCGAGAACAGAAGACGAGCGAGTAGCCCGCCACGAAACAGAGCCGGAACCAAGACTGAAGGTGTAACCCTGGGACGACCGCTGCGTAGCCTGGTCGTCAGCCCAAGAAGCGTCCGCGTGCCCAGTGAGGACCACTGAACTCCGCCCTCCAAGCACTAGCCCCATGCCCGACGTACTGCACAAGTAGCGCAACACCCTCTTCGCTGCAGCCATGTGCTCTGGTCGGTGTCTCCCAGGAGCAACATAGCGTGCCAAGATGCTAAGAGGGTATGCAAGGTCAGGTCGTGTGCAGGTCATCAGGTAGATGAGGCAGCCAACAAGCTATGGGTACGGGCCACTCGACTCTACGGACTCATCCGA